ACTTCAATGGTTGATGGTCTGTTAATAAAATTATCTCGGCTCCTTCTATATAACCTCAAAACTCGGAACATGCCCACACGATAGCTAGGGCTTCTTTCAGCAGCCGACAACAGTCGGCTTGCATATTCAATCGGATGTTCTGTGTTATCCTCCCCCTGGAGTAAAGCTCCGCCTAGCGCATAAGCACTAGCATCACTTTTTATATAAAATGGTAAGTTGTCTTGGGCTTGTTTCAAGATGGGTGCAGACTTTAATGCATACTTAAGAGACTCAAATGCATCTTTTTGCCTTACAGTCCAAGCCCATTTGGCATTCTTTTTCGTAAGTTCGGTTAATGATTTCGAGATCTCCGCGTAGCCATTTATGAATCTTCGATAACAAGAACACGTTTGAATAAATGAAATAAGTTCTTTAACATTCTTCGGTTCTTTTCTTCGGCTAATAGCAACTGTTTTCTCTTGATCAACGCATATCCCGTCAGGCGTGAGAACATGTCCTAGATACTTCACTTCCTCACAACAAAATCGGCTTTTATCAGTTACACGCAATTTATACTCTTGCTACTTAGATAGAACGATAACAAGATCTTTTAAATGTTCGGAGAATGACGGAGAACAGACAATAAAATCATCGAGATAAACTAAAATTTTAACTTTCGAAACAGAGGTTTTGAAACGATCCATAAGACGTTGGAACGTTGCCGGTGCAAAATGCCAAATGACATTCTTCTAAATAAAAAGGTCCCAAATGGGGTAATAAAACATGTCTTGTAAGAGTCATTATTATTAACTTTTATTTGGTAATAACCGCTTTGAAGGTCTAGTGTAGTCATAAAATTAGTACTTTTCGCTGCATGTAGAAGGTCATCCATACGTGGCAGTGGATACCTGTCTGGAACGGTTATGGCGTTAATCTTTCTGTAATCAATACAGACGCGCACCCCACCAGTTTTCTTCGGAACTATTACAACGGGGGATGCCCAAGACGACTCGCATTCTTCGACAATACCTGCTTCGATCATCTTCTCGATTTCCGTTTTCAGTTCACGCGTTTTTGCAAACGAAAGACGATATGGCGGACTAAATACCGGTTCGTGGTCACCAGTGTTGATTCGGTGCTCAGCGTATGGCGTTGGTTCTGTGATGTCTCCAAATACTTCCGCATTTGCTTGGAGCACTGCATCGAGCTGCTGCTTCTGCTGGAGGTTCAAACTCGCACCATCTGTTGCTTTCAATATTTTGAAATTGAACGAGTACAACCTCACGTAATCGTCATCATCATCATCATGCCTTCTCTTAGGAACAAGACTAGGAAATAGCGTTGGTTCGCTGTGCCTCTTTGGCGTCAATGCATCTGGTGGCAACGCGTCTCTAAATATTACCTGGATCGAATGTGGCGAGTAATCATTAGTGGGAATTTCAGGACCATAGTTCTCGCATTCGAATACGTCTGCTTCTGAGCGTGGTTTAGTCATGGACAATTTGCGCTTAGGTGGGACATTTGCGCATTTAACGACTTCAATAAGATTGAACGGCACAGTTTCCGCAAAATCGAAGTGTTGAGTTGGGTTGTCTTCAAAGTACCAGTACCTCTGCCCCATATTTAGCACTATACCAGCTTGGTCCAGAAAATCTGCACCGAGTAGAGTGCGGTTTCTTTCAGCGTCAGGTAGTATAATGAACTGGATATCCATACAGCGGCCACCAATCATAATTTTCCATACCGTTGCCAAGCAGTGTTTTCTGGTTACGATTCCGTCTGCTAACGCGATGACACACGTAACATTTTGGTACTGAAAGCCTTTGAAGTCCATCACCCGCTTCAAGTTTGTGCTTGCTATGCTAGTACGCGCACCAGTATCGAAGTACGCTTGTCCTGGTACACCAAAAAGCTGTATGTGGGCCAGTGGGATGTCACGACCAACATTTACGGGCGATAGCGAGTTGAAATTAATAGTACCTCTCGAAGATTTTTTATTCATGCAGCATACTGGACAATTAGCTCGCGTCACGCCAGGTGCATTACACCCATAGCATGCAAACTTCGGTTTGGCAGCTATAGCAGCAGCGATCGTAGCGGCATTTGCCTCATTTGTATCAGATTTTTGCTTCTTAAAACCAGTTTCACGCGTATGCTCCTTCTTATGGCAAAAATTACAGCGCGCGATTTGCTCTTGTGGTCTTTTAAGGATTTCGCGTTCGCTTATTAATAGCTCTACTTCACGAGCATCATTAAGCAGCTGTTCGTAGGACGAAACTTTCAGACGGCTCACTCTGTCTCGAATATTAGCATTAAGCATACCAAACAACATGTCGAGTTGATCAGCTTCTGCTGGCGTGTTAGGCAGCTGTGCAAATAATGCTCGCTTCTTTCGGATAAAAGTGTCCGTTGGTTCGCCTTTCTGCTGCTTACTTTCCATTATTTCTGCATAAACTCTCCATGCTTGCTTTGCCGGTGCGAAACATTCTCGGAGCATGCGATTACTTCCGTAAACGTAGTAACTTGATCCTACACACCACGCCACCACTCCGCAGCATCACCCTCGAGCAGCAGGGGCATCCCGTTTATTGCGTCGGTGTCATTAATTTTTTCCACCATTTTGAAAGTGGATACCGCTACTACAAATTCTTCCACCTTCACCGGATTGCGCTCTCCGTTATAACGCGCATTGCATGTGCTGAGTGTACCGGCACGTACGTTGCTGTTGCTTACCGACTTCAAAAGTTCCTGGAACTGTTCCGTTGATAGTGTCACCATCATGTTCAGTCGTGGGCTTCTTCTTGGCGAAATTTTGAAATTAAGCTTCTAGCCACTAAGTTGGCCGCCGATGTAGAGATGAGACCGTTGATGTTTAAAAAAAACAGGGAGGCTCCGTGGTTTGGTTTAAGTTTTATTTAAAAGTATTCACGGGGACAATAAAAAAATATACGGTAACGAAAACTACAAATAAGAACATTGGGTTTAGTAGTCTGCGCGAGCCCAAGCACCATCTGCTCTGCAGCGGCCAGCTATCGCTGTCCACACTGCAAAATGCAGATATGCAAGCAATAACTGCTTGGAAGCGGCCAGCTATCGCTGTCTACTCTCCAAAGGCAGTCGTATACAAGCACAAGAGCTCTGCTCACCCCCGATCACCAAACGAAATGTGCAAATTCATAAGCGTACAGGCTTTTTATATGCTATGCAAAGCACACTGATCAATACCGTTTGTGCTATGGCAGTCCTGCTATACAATTGTTATACAATTTAAAACTCACATGCAAAAAAGAGACAAATAGATGTTGTTACATTTTTACGGCATTGCCATATTAGAATAAAACTTTAACTTTGACTTTGACAGAAAAAGGTATTGCCATACACGGTATTGCCAGATATGTGAATGTGTAAAACGTGAAATTAATAAAACATAAAACATGTATACATAAATAAGTAAAACAATAAAAGCGGCGTGTTACACAGTAAAATAAAATACATACAGATTACTTAAAACAAAAATAAAATAAAATATATATCACATTATACATATGTAGCAAAGATCAACACAGATGAGAAGAAAAAGTTAAACATTTAGATAGCGAAACCCAAACTCACAGAGGTTAGATAATTGCAGAGGTTAAATAATTAAATGGTGGTACTATCAAGTCGTTTATTCGAGCTGATTTAGGGAAGATTAGTTTATTGTAGAGATAGCTAGGAGCATTATCTATACGGTGACCATAAATATGGATTCAAAATGAAGGACAATTTTTCAAAAATATGCCTACATATATTTACGTAGTATAAAAATATCAAAAGAGTATTTATGATTCTAAAGTCTTAATACATTTTAAGCTTTAAAAATGAATCACGTTTTCTTCATTGATATTAATATTTTTTTACATGAATATTTATAAAAGTATAGTAAAACATATTATAATTACAATAGCTTACACGAAAAGTGAAAATCTTTAAAAGATTATTTTATAGGCAAGTTTTGAGTCGTTCAAAACGAAAACAATACCCTTCTTTTTTTGTTTTTTTGGTACTTTTCGCAGTTAATTGTCAAAAATCGACGTCATGAATCGACGTAAAGGACGAGTTACAAAGTGCCCTTTACAAAAATATATAATTTGTGCAGATTGCGCTCCATAGCATCTAGATTTCTAATCGAGCCCTCCCCCTAGACTTTGTAGTTTACCTTGTATGTAGGTATACAATCTTCGATTATTACCGCAGCGACCACAAAAATGCAATTGCCAATATAGCAACTCAGTTGCCAGCTTGCAGTTGCCATCTGTAAAACCATTTCAGCCAGTGGCCACCCAACTGAAGTTCGGTTGCCATAAGCCTTAATAATAATAAATAAATTAATTATTTCGAAATACACCACACAAGCGGTTTGACAAACCAAGCGAAATTTCCCTTTGCTTCAAGCCATTTGTGCTGTGTATGGGGGTGTTTGAAGGTTTGACAAACCGCTTGAGGGAAATTTGAGCAAAAATCAAAATTTTTTGATTTTCTGGCCGCCATGTTGATGTTTGATCAAACCGCTTGCGTTGTGTATAGCAAAATCGCCTCATTCGCAACGAAATTTTCATCGAGTGAGGACGTAGAAGAGAAAAAATGGAAGACGACCAAACATTTTTATTAGAGTTTATTGAACTTTATAAATCTTTACCATCCCTATGGAAGGTAAAATCCAAAGATTATAGCAATAGGGTAGTCAAAAATAGGGATTACGAAATTTTAGCTGAGAAGTTAAAAGAAAAATATACTGAGGCTACAAAACAAATGGTGATTAAAAAGATCAATGTGTTGCGCACTTCGTACCGGCGTGAAATGAGGAAAAAGAAAGCTAGTCTCAAATCGGGTGCTGGTGCGGACGAGGAATATGTGCCAGTACTGTGGTACTTTGATTATCTAACTTTTCTCGAAGACCAGGAAGAATATATTATGGGAAGGAGTACAGTTGAAGATACCGAATGTGAAGTAAGAAAACATAAATAAAATATTGTGTTTATTGCATTTTTTATTATTCATTTTGCTTATCTTAAAACATTATTTTGCCACGGTACTGACCCAGTTGTGTTAAAATATGTGCAAAAATTTTCCCTAATTTGTTTTGCATTTCGGGATGCATTTCTAGAAGTTGAAGCTTGAAGGTTTTGAAGATTTGGACCACTGTGCCAATCTGCATATTCGATAATGCCCATTTCCACTTGCTCCGTATCCAAACCACCTTCGAAATAAGTTCGCTCATTTTGCTTCCTCAAAAAGTTATGCAAATAGCAACAAGCTAGCACAATAGTAGTGGTTTTTTCTGGTGACATATTTATAGTTTGTAACAAGATCCTAAATCTGGATGCCAAAATGCCGAAAGCATTTTCAACAATCCTTCGTGCTCGGGAAAGCCTGTAGTTGAAGATAATCTCCTCTGTTTTGAGAGTGTTGTGACTAAATGGTTTTAAAATATTTTCCGATAGCGGAAAAGCATCGTCAGCTACAAACACAAACGGCATTCTTTCACCACATCCCGGAAGAGCCTCTGGGCTCGGAATTTTTAAAGTGTTTGCTGCTAGTTTTGAAAAAAACTTTGTTTCGCGAAATACGCCTCCATCAGATGCTCTGCCATTTTTGCCAACGTCAACCATTAAAAACTCATAGTTGGCATTGACCACTGCCATCAGCACTATGGAAAATGTTTTTTTGTAATTATAGTAAAAAGATCCAGATCCAGGTGGCTGACGAATATTAATATGCTTCCCATCTATAGCGCCTATACAGTTCGGAAAGTTCCAAAGGTTATAAAAATCCGAAACTTCTCTTCTCCACTCATTTTGTGTTTGTGGGAGCTGAAATAATATGTAAAAATATATAGGTATATGTCAAAAAGGTAATTTCTGTATTTTTTTATTTCAGGGGTCTGATGCTCAACCAAGAAAAAGAAAGGCGTGCCAGGAAGACAATTTAATAAGATTGGCTTGTGAAACACTTAGTACTAGCAGCAGTCAGCCAAAAGAAGAGGATAACTTGGCGAGATCTTGGGCCACACAGTACAATGAAATGAACGACAGTCAAAAAGTAATTGCTCGCAAAATAATTTCGGATGTACTTTTTCATGGTTGTCTAGGGAACCTTCAAGTCGGTCACACTGTGAAAATACAGAATATTTTTAATACTCAAAACGTGTCAGAATATAATAACCTACCGGAGCACTTTTCGGAAAGAAGCGCTTTACAAAATCCTGCACATTTAAGCAGTAGGACTTCTACATGCACTCCCTTAAGTAGTGCTGCTTCCACTAGTAGTTACAGAGTCCCCACTCCCTTAAGTAGTGGTGGTTCCACTAGTAGTTACAGGGTCGGAATTCCCATAAGTAGTGGGGATTTCACAAACAACAACAGAGTGTCAACTCCAAAAAAAGCAGAAATTATATACTTTATGAAAAATGAAAATGCGGAAGACCAAATGAATGCTACATACGTTGAAGAGGATGACTGTTCAACGAGCTGTTATGAAGAAAACAGTATTCAAAACTATTTTTGAAATTTCGGCAGTGATGAATAGAATTCCATAAACATACCTTTTAAATAAAGAATAATTCTAATTTATTTTTCTTAATTTAAAGAATAATGTTTAAGTTACCAATAAACTAAACTTTTTATTACCCTTATAAAATTCTTAAGTTCACTTATTAATGCTTCACAAGTTTCGTTGACGATTCGACCAATTGTTTGGGGCGCTATTGCTGATAAAAATTTTAAATCCTCGAAGCTATTGCCGCTTGCCAAGTACCTTAATGTCAAGGCGAGTCGGTGATGGGCGGGGATCGCATCTCTCATCATGGTATTTTGTTTTGTAATCAAATGCGCAATTTTTCCAAGCAATAAGTCAAAAGTGGGCTTAGTCATCCGAACATAATTTTTTAAATCACTTTCGGATGTATATTCTAATTCTTTTAGAAGCTCTGTTTGCCCTAGAATAGGTCGTTTTAAATACCAGTCCTTACTCCAAATTCTTTGTCTTTGTTTGCGTGCTTTCCTTCGCTTAATAGCAATAGCGAGCAAAATTGCCGCTACACATTTCCTATCCGTACTCATTGTGAACCGGAAGTAAACTAAAATTCTCGCTTGAACAAGTCATGTTTGTATGGTGTATGGCGAAATGAAAAAAGTAGGTTTGAAGTAGGTTTGACAAGCCGCTTGTATGGTGTATTCTGTATTAGTAGGCTCAGCTCGATGTTCTGGTCACATACGTACATAAGTACACATTTTCATGAGTCTATCTCTTCTTATTCTGGTACTTACAAATATCGGACCAAGTTATAATACCATTTCATGCTCATGAAAGGTATAGATTTCAGATTTCAAATCGGTGAAGTAGGTAACAAAATATAAATTTAAACATTTTCTTAACTTCTTCCCAGCGTATCTATTAAAATGTCATTTTCAAAAATTTCATGCATTGCTAAGCCATGTCATTCCATCTCAAACATACTGTTATAGCATGACATTGCTTCTTAGCTCAGCTGTTGTTTGCTGTTGTGTTTCTTTCTTCCTTTCTTTGTTTTAATACGGTTTAATCCTGCCTTGTATGAAAATGTATATAGCAGGGGTGGGCAAGGCAGAAGCCGAAAAGAGCCACATCTAAGTTCTAAATGCTGCAAAGAGCCAAAAAAAATAACAAGAAAAACAAAAATTTTATTTTTAAATTAAATTATCATAGTTGCCAACTTGGTGCTTTAAGCACTAGATTTTGTGCTTTTTGAAAACTAAAACGCCAAAAAAAATATTTACTGCCTAGTGCCTTTTTTAGTGCTTTTTTCTGAACTAAAATTACTTCGAGATAGTTAAAACCTGAAATAATTTGGAATATTTAAGGCTGTGGCAGCACTGAATTTACAAGAATCTTCAAATTTAAATGTACTAAAATACAACCATGATTGATAATAAGCTGAAGTTGCAAACCCAACTTGTTAAATTCTATTCGCGATGAAAATGCTAGTACGCAATTAAGTTAAGTATTTGTTTTTTTCTTTACTAATTATTTGTACAAATTTTGTTTTTTTTTTTACCACCTGAGTAAAACACATCGTTTCTTGGTGCTGAATCCAAATCTGGCCTCACAATTGCTCTAGCTTTAGAATTTTGAGATATCCTAACCTCAAAGTGTCAAAAACACGGTTCTTAGCGACATTTGAGGTTATAAAATGAAAACATCAAATAATTTGCTCATTTCTTATTAGGGCATCATTTTCGTTTGATGCGATTCGATTTTCTTTCTCGAGATATACCAGTTTTAATGTGCAGTACTTCGGTACTATGTTATGAAAAAATTATCCCTTGATTCAAAAAAAATTGGTGCTTTTAGTGTGGTAAAACGCTTTTTCCAAGTTTTTCGTGCTTTTCGCAAATCAAAAGATGGTAACACTGAAAATTATTATTAGAAATGAAAAACATGAATTTTATTATAATCCTATTGTACGTAAGATAGATATAAAAGAAAATTCAAAAGATTCCTTTGGCGAGATTTTCAAAATCTGGTTTTAGGTCAGTTAAGGCCGTTCGTAACAATTCTGTTAAATGTTGGATAGTCAATAGGTATGTTCGTTTAAAGTCCCCAGTAAAAAATGTCCGGCGAAATGTCATCTGTTATCTCACAAGAGAAAAATATCCAAAATAGTACGCGAACAGAAAGTTTGCAGAAACTTGCAAATTAGACGAACAGCTGATAGAAATATTGTTTACATTCAAAAAAATTTAAAACGTAAGAAAACAAATCTCGAAGTCTTATCCTGACACAGTTCACTGACTAAACGAATAATTACTTACTTCTTGTAAGTTTAATTGGTCGCATTTTACTATTTTAGCTTCCAAACCATCGAATTCGATTTAGGGATTTGCGTAAATTCCAACCAGCAGTTTTTGATCAGCTGTTTTCTTGTAGGTAGGGACACGAATTTCGATACGATACGATACCATATCGATACTTTTGGCATTCGATACCGATATTTTCTACTCGATAGTTTTAAAACGATATTTTTTGGAATCGAGTACCAGAACCCTAGTATCGTATCGAATGTCATAAACTCACATTCCAACACTGAGGGAAGAAAATTTTAGAATTAAAATATAACGTGCTAAATTGAAAAAAATACGCATATGAAAGAGCACCAACCCAACTCGTTTTAATTTTGAGTATATACGTTATAAAATATGTGGTTGTGAAGTGCACAGATGCTTTTTCGTAATTAAGAAGAAAAAAAATTATTTTTATGTTCCGTCTGATGGGAATTGAACCCGGACCCTCTTGGCCGCAACTAATTGTATCAAGCGTCTTTGCACACTCAGCTGCAGCCATACATGTAAAGGTGTTTTCAAATGTTGAGTTTGAATCAACATCACAGCGCGCGATTAGTGCATTATCCTTGAAGGAAAGATTGGTCCAATCGCTCGAAAAATACACAATGTACACTACGTACATATAATGGAAATATTCAATTCTAATACTCCCGTACTAAAATGAAGCATTTTTCACTACACGGATGGCGTTTTGCACGTCTCGGATGCTTTTTGATATGTAATTAAGAAGGTATATGTATACAAAGCATGCACAGCGCG